ACTCTGGACGAGGGCAATCGACATCCATACCTGGACCGTCCTGCAGCAACTGAACCCACCTGGGGCTAGCCTCGCAAAACTTATGCTTGATTGATCTTGAAACAATATCCTGAGCGACGTCGCTTTCAGTGTCGCTCGCGAGCTCGAAGACTTCGCCTGCAGCTTCCCGCTCCTCGATTCGGCGCCATTCGTCCATAACGGCCTGCAGCTCAACGGGGTCCGCAGCCTGCCGGCGGACAGGATAGAGCCCCACTATAAACCCACAAAGCTCCCTCTCAGACAAGTGTCATTATGTGGACCTCGTCATGCAACTCTGGACGAGGGCAATCGACATCCCTACCTGGACCGTCCTGCACAGGAAGTATGTTTTAAACCCATCAGCAACTGAAACCCCCCGGCGCTAACCTCACAAACCTCATCGGATGCCGTCGGGCCCCGCTCGCCGGGAACCTTGGATGCCCCGGGAAGCTCAAAGCACAATTTCAATCCAATCAATTCCAAAACCACCACGAAATAATTGCGATCTCAACAGCTTCCTCATCATTATCGTCTGAATCATCGAAGATTTCAAAGATCTCATCTAGATCATTGCTCTGCTCCTCGCCATCCTCGGGCCCGATCTCCTGCTGGGTTTAAGCTCGCGAAAGGAATATGCATGAAAAGCCAGACAGAGATCACAATAGCACTAAATATAGTAATGTTTTTTTATGGAAGCACCTCTGATGATGCATACGAGCTCAGACTCGATTCTGATGATTTTCGAAGTGGCTTCTGCGGAATGGAGCGGCCATTCACCGCCAGGTAGATGCCCTTCAGGACTGCCATCTCATCGCTCCTAATGTTCGAATGCATCGACCGTGATTAAATAATGGTCCATGAGACTGTGCGGTCCGGCGGTCCTGGAGAAACAGGTCCGGCCGACTGACTGCACAACATATGCAGCCAGCCACCTCAATCTTGTCCCCTGCAGTTCAGACCACTCTTTGGCCTTCTGCTTGCCACCCTTCTCGACCTTCTGGAGGCCGTAGCAGCAACTCAGGTACAGCACTGCCGCCCTGTGCTCTTTCGCCGAGATGAGCTCTTTCCGCTCCTCCACACCCTGGAAGAGATGGGCTGCATAGGATTTCATGATTTCCATGTTTTTCTTCGACAAAACGACGTCGTCTTGGGAAATCTTCGTGTCCAAGATGTCGACCAGTCGGGTTTCCTAGGCTGCGATATATAGTACTTATAAGTAGACATATAGACAAACACACCACTCGGAGCATGCAGCTTGAGTCGCCTTGTCTTTCTTCAGCTCCTCCAAGCGAGCCTCCACTACGGAGCGGAGGGCAGCCACGATTTTCAAAGCCGCATCCTGGCATTCGCGGGAGCACTCTAGATCTGCATCGGGATGTGCATCGTAGTTGATGATAGTTTGCAGCCTAGTTTCACTCACGAAGAAACGGAGGGGACGAATTACTTGCTTGCCGGTGATCAGCTCACCGGTGCTAGCACACCGCCGAACACCAGGAAGGACCTTGAACTCTTGCTCCGCCATGCCGGCAGCTGCTCACTAAATGAGTTGCCCTGCAGTGCATGCGTAGTGCAATGACTATATTTAGCATGACACATGTACATGTACATGCATGGCATATGATATATATGCACAGGTGCATGCACACATCGTCCCTCGGCCCAGAAAACTTGCAGATCCGGACTGCAAATGATCATTCATGAGCACAGCTCAAGCAACAGACATGCACAAGCACTGCTGCAGCTGAGGGTGGGCGCACCAGAGGCCTTCCGCTTCAAGCTGTGGTGCAAAAGGCACCAGCGGGCCGGCATCGAGAAAAAATGCAATCAATTATGGAACCGAGCTCTTACATGTATGTACATGCACATGACAAGCATGTACAGACATATACAAATATATGCGTGTTCAACATGGTTCTAGAAGCACACGTCTTCGAGCTATATAGCTTGACTAACATTCAACCATATGCATATGTGAATCCGATTCAACTTCGCAGCAGGATTTACTGCTCCAGGTTCCTCCTGATGAGCACAGTAGATATAGCAAGATACCTGGAATGTCCAGTCGTGAGACACAAACAACAGGCACCAATTCGTTCATGTGCATGTGTATACCTACATACATACATAAATACATATACACATACATATACACATATATACATATATACATATACATAGATCCATATACATACATACATACATCCTTACATACATGCCCACATACATACATACATACATACACATACATACATACATACATACATACATACATACACATATACAGACACTGCAAACAACACAGACCCACACTGTGCACTCTCTCTCTCCCACACACACACACACAGACACGGACAGAGAAGACAGGAGACCCCCCCGAAAAAGAAAAAACACACACAAGACACTGCAGGGCAGATACAAATGCCCCGGTCCGCACAAACATCAAAACAGTAAAGTAATGTTCCGGGATTCCACAGACAAACATGTACACATACATATATATATATATTTGCATATATATGTATATATAAAGAGAGACGATCTTGGCAAACCCAACTCATCAAGAGTGAGGTCTTTAAACCCCACCGTCCTGGTGCCATATACATATTTATTGAGGAAGTTGGCAAACCCGCAACCCATCAGGAGAGAGGTCGTCAAACACTACCAAATCAACGTCTTATTAAATTCCAGCTGGTGTGAATCTAGTAAGAAGTCGGCAAACCCAACCCACCAGGAGTCAGGCTTTCAACCTCCACCAAATCCCATGTAACGTCTGGGACCAGTGTACCCTCTGGGCACAATTTTGCCCAAGTATCGCCTATGACGATACACGGAGCCTTTGGGTCTGGTTTGGGCGGCTGAAAAGCTGCGAATCAGCGGCGCAGCGCTTCGTTGGCTCCGGCTGTAGGCGGCTTGGGCGGCTGAGGGCGCACCGGCAGTAAAAGAAGCGGCGAAGCAACTTGCGCCTCGCTCCGGATTGTAACATTCGTCAGAGCGTCCGCAGCTATTTCAGCTTCTCGCATAAGCCATGACTGCTGCCGTGCTGGGCGCTTGGACAGACAGCTGGGGGTCGAACCAGCTGCTTCATCT